GCTCCCTCACTGGCCACAGCTGGCAGTGACAGAGCAACAACCTGCTGGTTTAGTCAAAGTGGACTATCATATTTGATTTTTCCCCAATTTTAATAGGCCATTTTCTACAATGCAAAAAAAGAACCAGACATATTTTGTAAAGCGCTCGTACACACATATAGTTTTACAGGTGATTTTCTTTTCTAAGAAGATGCTAAACAAAGATTGGTAATCGACTAGTTCAACACTTGTACTGTTTTTTATTGTGTTTACAAGTATTTCTTGTGATTTATTTTGTATCAGCTACATTCACTAAGGGTAAACTCTAGAGATAGATTAAAATCACACCACTTAATGCAGTTATATATAATAAAAAATAATTTAATGTTGTGTATTTATAAATGGAACCAGAGTAGGTGCCCAAAAGTATCTTTCATATATCAGTCACCTGCAATCCCCCAAACTAAACATTCATACTGGAACAGGGAGTAGCAGCGCTAGCAATCATCCATGCTCTGCTGCTGTGAAAACATGCTGCCATTGGAGATGCAAAGAGAAGGAAAGAGACAGTGCTGCAGCTCCCACCTTGCTTTGTTGGCAAACTGGAGATAGAATCTTGACTAAATTATACCGCAGCTGCTAGAAAAGTAAAGGATCTGGTTATGCTGCTGTGCTGTCCCCAGTTATATGGGCAATTCAATTGCATCTATGCAGGGCAATCTTAATAGCATCATTGGCCTCTGGGCAAAGTAATGCACTGGAGCCTCTACAAAACTGCTCCAATTTCAGCCTTTTTTTTCAGGAGTCTTTCACATGTGTCTTTGGGAGTGGAAAAGCCATGCAATTGAGCTGTGGTTTTACTGCTCCTCCTTTAAGGTATATTCACACCAGATGTGGTGGGACCATGTTGGGTGGCTATTGCAGCATAGTTTCACCACTTAACAAGGCAAAACACCTTGTCTCTGGAATGCGCAGTTCACATCAGTGCATTGCAACGGTGCATGCTGGAAAACGTACTGCATGCAGTAGTTTTTTCAGCGCAGCACAGTGCGAGACAATCCATCACCTCGTACTGCACAGTACCAATTGAACTTGAAATGTCAGTGTGACCATTCAATAAAGTCTTTTTAGGAAAAAAAAAAAAAAAAAAAGGAACAGTACAATGGTCCAGAATCTACATTGCACTGATACTGCATAGCATCACAAGGCAGTAGCTGGGGGATTACACATGCTGCAGCCATGATGCACTACCACTCACCAAATGCAACCCATTCAAATAAAATGGTACGTGCTGCAACTTCCCTGCAACCGGGTGCAATGCATGTGGTTGTGGTGAGGGTGATGCAGAATTTAGGGGATTAAAACAGGTGGTGAGGAGGCAACATATCAACTCGCTGTCTGAAAAAGATTGACTCTCCTCTGAAAATCAATCTGCACACGGATTTCTTTTCAGGGGCATTTGACAATGAGAGACTCCACTCACCTATTTTCCAACCTATAGTGTGAGTACTACAATTTGCCAACTGTCCTGCACAGCTTCACATACACACAGAAAGCACAGTGCTGTGTGTGTGTGTGTGTGTGTGTGTGCGCGTGCGTATGTGTGTGTACAACAGGAGGTGGAGTAAGGGCGGGGCTTTCAGGGAAGGCATAGCAGGGATTGGATAGCTGATAAGGAGGCAGATAAAACCACCGACCTCTTCAGCACATTGCACTGTTCCCTCTGAATCCTGTCTCAACATCTCACTCACAGGATTTGTGTAAGTGAGATACTGAAAAACAGGATTGGCACAGCCACAGACAGCACAGTGACAGTGAACCCACTCCCAACCACGGACTCTGCCCAGACCGGCAATTATGACAGCTTGGACTCGGAGATGGTAGGCAGCATATTGTGTGAGCTGCACCACTGCTAACAAAAAGCTGAAGTTAGGCTCCATTCACATTTGTACAACTTCAAAGTTTGAGTGCAACTTTGGTGCAATGCTGGAGCAACTTTGATGCACATTTTAACGCAACTTTTGATGGATGCAACTTGGATATGTCTTGTCCCTCTGCAAAGTTGGACCCACAGGTGCACCACTGTTGCATGTAAAACATTCAAGTACATCTTTCGTGCATCTTTTGAGATTTCACATTGAAGTTTATGGCCTTCAAGTTGTATGAAAGTCAGAACAAAGTAGTGCATGAACTACTTTGAAGTCGCTGGAACTTTAAATTGCACATATATGAATGGTTACCATTAGAAAACATGGGGCACGACTTGTCATGCAACTTTAATGTCCAAGGTCACGTGACAACTTGCACAAGTGTAAATGGGGTCTTAACCACTTGCCTTCCAAAGGATTTAGCCTTCTTCCTGGCCAGGCCATTTTTTGCGTTATGGTGCTGCGTTACTTTAACTGACAATTGCGCAGTCATGCACGGCTACACCCAAATGAAATTTATGTCCTTTCTTTACAACAAATAGAGCTTTCTTTTGGTAGTATATGATCACCTGTGTGATTTTTCTTTTTTGCACTATAAAAAAAAAAAAAAGACCGACAATTTTGAGAAAAAAACAATATTTTTTACTTTTTGCTATTTACATGTCCAGTAAAAAAATTAAAAAAATCAAATTTCATCATAAATTTAGGCCAAAATGTATTCTGTCACATGTCTTTGCAAAAAAAAAAAAATCCCAACACGTGTAAATTAATTGGTTTACATGTAAGCTATAGCGTTTACAAATGGCGATATATATAATGGAAATTTAATTTTTACTAGTATTGGTGGCGATCAGTGACTTATAGTTGGACTGTGGCAGGCATTCTGACACTGGGGGGAACTGACTTGGTGTCACTGACATCCCCAGTGACACCAATACACTGATCAGTGCTAATAAAAAGCACTGACACTGTACTAATGGCACTGGGCAGGAAGGGGTTAACATGTGGGGCTATCAAAGGGTTAACTGTGTGCTGTTTTACTGTGTGTGCGCTTCACTGTAAGCATCCTGCTTAGCATGGCTCTGCTATGCAAAGCCATGCAAAACAGTGCGCAGGAGCTGACAGGAGAGAGAACTGTATTGCTTACATACAGTTCTCTCCCTCCATCGGTAATGCTCCTCGATCACTGGGTGCTGGCGAGTAATCATCGGCCGGGATCCGGTGATTGACAGCCAAGGCCGCGAATAGCCTTCCCCTACCCGGATATGCAAAATCACGTATACATACACGTGATTTTGCGCACACCTGTGCCACCCTGTAGCAGTATTACTGCTATAGGGCAGACGGGAAGCGGTTAAACATACTCTGTGCAATCAATGCAATGCAGTTTACCATGACACCTCAGCACTGCCAGCAACATCCCCCTAGATCTGACCAGCCCTAATGAAGCCCCATGTGAACCTCAGGTGCCCGCTCGATAAGTAAGCCCTGCATCTATGTTTATTTCTATGGTTGTTTCATTGTTACTTGTTTATGGCTATGCTTCCACCCTGTGGTCATTGTATTACCTGCAGCAGTTTTCTGAAACTTCCCTTTTGTATGATGTAACTTCCCTTTTCCACTGTGAGTTCCTTTATTTTTCTTGCAAGATCCACACTGAGGCTGGAGACAAATTCCTTTGACCTTCAAACACTGCAAATGCCAACATCTACTGCGTCACATTGTCTGCCTCAGCCCTTGAACATGCAATAAAGATATTCATGGATGACAAGTGTGGGGGGCTTAAGCTAATGCAGATTGTCAGCAGCAATTGTTTCTGCTTTGTCTCAGGCCAGATATAGAGGTCTCAGGAAAGAATAAGTCACTATTACAACAGATGGAGTCAGAATAGCTGTCTTGCATCAAAAAACTGCTGTACAGATTTCCAAATATTTTGGTAGATAAACATCCCCTGTATATGTATGTTACCTTATGCTTTAAGTGACTTTCTTATTTCTATTTATTTTATTATAATTAAAAAATCTAACTTTTTTACATTTAATTGTGTTGCTATTACAAGCAGGCTATAAACTTGCACATGTCATAGCACTGGGCAGGTCACATGTTCTCTTTATAGCGATATCAGGGGTCTACTATATTGGACCCTGACTGCTCTGAATCAGAAGTAGTCAGAGCTGAGCACTTCCCGTTAAAACTTCTTTAGAGGAGATTCGGGGACAGATGCTCCTGTGCTCCTCTTGCTCACCATCCTGCCATCATTTGTTGTGGTCCTGGGTTGTCATCTTAGTTGAAATCATTTGTCTTATGCCCCCCTTCCCCATTTACTCCATTCATAGAGTGATTTTTATTGATGGAAGCCATAGTGCAGCTTCTATGAATAGAGGCAGGGGGGTTGAAAGGGCAGGTGTAATTAGCACTCTTGAAGAGTGGTTATGACAGGTCCAGCGGCTGTATTAATCCCCAAAACATCAAAAGATTACAGCTGAGAGGGTACTGGGAGAGAAGGGGAACAGAGGATGGAAGCTTGCAGGTAAGATAGCAGCCACCAGCACAAGGGGCACTTTCCGTTGAATGTAAATACCAACCCTTATGCTGATTTAAAAAAATGTAACTAAACTTAGGCTTTAAATCCCCAGCCCCATCATAAACATTACAGAGAAAGGGAAGTTAAGTAAGACATTCAGTCCTGGCATTTTCAGAAAAGAGCAAACAATTATACATTTGAATACAGTCTGTACAAACAAAGGGTTAAAAAGCATGATTTCTTCATGTATGCTAATAAAGAGAAACTAAGGGTGTCCCTCTTTGTCAGTGGAGACAGACTGAGTTTTCTCTCATTTCAAATTGTACAGAGTCTTCCCAGAGGTCTGCACTGAACAAACACATAAAAAGGTAAGACATAATTGTTTTTCATTATTTTTAGATATTTTGTGTGAATAGGAACTCACAACAAACATTTAGTGGGGTTTTCTCAAATGTGACTGCAAAAATGGAAATACACTTTAAACACTAAGCAAATATACATTAACAAGTATATAAGGCCTAATAAAGTAAATGGCATTGTGTTAAAAAGTAAGTAATACATACCTATACCTTGCAATGCAAACTTTAAATTACATTCGTCTTCGTGGCAAGAGCACATAAACATTGTCCCCCAGCCATCTTCTTTTCTTTCATTATACAAGATGGTTCAGTGTTCTCATCAAGCATGTAACCATAAAGAAGAACTTTGGGGTCATGACACAGTGTCTCCTCAGTTGTGTGAGTGTCATTATGTCTCCTTAAAGGAAAAAAATGCAAATATACAATGCATCATTTTAAAAAAGGCAATAAAGAGTTATTTTTTTGTATAGATTCAAGTTTTTTTAATAAATCTATGAAAAATTGAAGTGCCGATTTTGACTGACCACTGTTGGGCTTCTATTGTTGTCTGCCTTCCCAGAGGGGAAATTTGCCCTCCCTTCCACTCCCTGTGAAATCCTGAAAGGAGATCTCTCCAGTAGAGACACATAAAGTGATAATAAACCTGATAGGTTCTAACTGTTCTCCTCTAAATACCGTTCTCCTCTAAATATTCAACTAAAAGTGTTAGATGGGTGCAAATAATACTTGTTGATTTTGCCAGAAACTCAAGGCATTGTATTAGAAGTTTATATTTTAACCATTTCTTGAACATGCTATAGCCAAATGATGGCTACAGCACGGTCATCTAGTTCTGGGAAGGCATCATATGATGTCCTTTGGACACAGCTGATCACATGACACAGTAAAGGGACAATCACAGCTGCCTTTTATCACGTGATAAGCTGTGTCCAATCACAGTTGATCGCCATGTAAATACACTTGCCAGTTATTGGCAGTACTTTCCTCACGCTGTCACAACATGAGGAAAGTACTGCCGATAACCGGCAACTGTCAAAGGAGACATCTACACTGATAATCAGGGCACTTATTATCAGTGCTCTGATTATCAGTGCAGCCCAAAAACTGCCCATCAGTGTCCAACAGTGCTGCCCATCAGTGCCCAATAGTGCAGCTCATCAGTGCCCATCAGTGCCCGCCAGTGCCGCCTATCTGTGCCTGCCAGTGCCGCCTAACTGTGCCCACTAGTGCCACCTATCTGTGCGACCAATCAGTGCTTTCTATTAGTGCCGCCTATCAGTGCCCATCATTGCCGCATATTAGTGCCCATAAGTGCCGCATATGAGTGCAGCCTTATCAGTGCCTCCTCATCAATGCCCACCAGTGCCGCCTCATCAGTGCAGCCTATCAGTGCCTATCAGTGCTATCATTGCCACCTCATCAGTGCCTATCAGTGCAGCCTCATCAAAACACATAAGTGAAGGAGAAAAATTACCTGTTTGCAAAATTGTATCATAGAAACAAAGAAAAACGTTTTGGTAATTTTTTCATTTGTTTAGCAAATACCACAAAAAGAAAGCACTATTTTTGTGAAAAAAATGCTAAAAATTTCATATGGGTACAGTGTTGCATGACTGTGCAATTGTCATTCAAAGAACTGAAAGCTGAAAATTGGCTTGGGCAGGAAGGGGGTAAAAGTGCCCAGTAGGCAAGTGGTTAAAGGATAAAATAAATATGGAATGTAGAACATGGTACAAGCAATCTTAAAATAAAAAAAAAAACACTGGGAACCATATGTATTATAATAAATGTATCATACCATCAATTCAGTTTAAATGCTAATGCATTTTTTTCCATGCCAGACAAGCTAAAATCAAACATTAAATCTTGGCCTTACCATATTGCCACACACACTTCATCAGCAAACTCGCAAATGGAAGTTCTGTCACAGGAGCTTGTACAATTCCCATCACTTATCAAACATGTTGATGGTAGGCTATCACAAAATTTACACAATTTTGATATTTTCACCTTCCCTCCAGGTTCGCTTTCCCAGGATTTTGTTTTACCTACAGAAGTATATAGTAAAAGTGAATCAGGATTCAACTATATATTACAGTATGGATAACACGTTTTACTAGTTTTACTCCATATATATATATATATATATATATGGCTATTCTGGGCCATGGCAAGCCTATTTTCAAAGGATATTTCCAAGACAAATAAATCACCTTTATAATTGGAAATCTGTGACCATTCCTTGCAATATCCGAGAGGGAAGCTTGGGTTGGTAGACTAGTGGTATGGTAGAATGAAATACTTATAACACACTGGGGTTGATGTACAAAAAGGCAAATACAGTGTGCACTTTGGAGGTGCAAGGTAATTTGCTCCACAGCTTAGTAAATGAGGTGAAGCTTCACTTTTCAAATAATATGTGTCTATGGACACAGACAGCACGTCTCGGGATCGAGCCTACACGTAAGCCCCATAGGAAGCTGCTTACTATGGGGACGCACAGAAAAAAGGAAGAGCTAGGAAAGATGGTGGGGGACCCAAGAAGAAGATGTTCAGGGCCACTCTGTGTAATACATGTTTGCTGTTAAAAAATATATATATTTTGACTTCACAATCACTTTAGATTGCAAACTTTCTTCATGGCCAACATTATGCAATATTTGATCACAAAACTAAAGAAAAACGTTTGTCTATAGACGGTTCTATAAAAATTAATATATGGTAACAATATAAAGCATTACCCTTAGAACTGTTGCTTTCATCTATGACTTTGTGATGCATGCTTTCTGTATGTTGCTTTTTTGCTGTTGCTGCAAAAATAAAAAAACAAATAGAAAGAAAATAAGAAACAATAATAAGACTAGTTAGTAGTAATATTTGTGTACCAATTCAAGAATGATTTGCTAAAAACTCTGCTTCATAAAGCACTCTATAATATGATAAGGCTGTCCCTAACCATTATACTACTCATGGCAGTAAATAAAACAGTGCTCACCCCTACTTCTACTTACTACCACAACATTTACATACTAATTATGTGTGCTAAAGTCTGGGATAAGCAAAAATTGTCTAAATACGAGAGGTAGGAGAGGTAGGTGTATACTTGCTTGAATCTTGGTGTGCTTTGTGTACTTCTTCCATATCTGTGGAGTAATTCAGTGTGGAACTTTACCTCTGTGCAGGAGTGTCCTGTAATCAAGACCAGTCACCTCTGCTCTCCTCTTGTGCAGGGTGACAGATCTTGTATCTGGCCCTTCTGTAGTTTTCTGCAGGAAGCCTATAGTGGGAGGGCCTGCTGGGACTCTGAGCAGCAGAGCAATGATGTCAATGCTACTTTTACAGGGTACTATTCAGGTTTGCAAAGGCATTTGGTACACACAAAGTGGAATTATACCTATTATGGCTTTTGAGGAATATTCTTTAGTAAACGTTTTTGTGCCTGGAATTTAGCTTTATTTGAATGCAAAACAGTTTCCGAATACAAAATTAGCTATATACTGAATCACCTGCTTTTAAATGGGTTAGACAGAGTATATAAGATACAAAAGATAGATAAGTAGATAGATAGATAGATAGATAGATAGATAGATAGATAGATAGATAAAGGATTGGCTTGAAACAGAACAAGGGAAGGTTAATATTTGAAAAGGGCTTGCAGACACAAACTGTACCTACCATTTTCAAAAATAAACTCAGAATTACACCCATCACTTTTACAAGCACATATGAACATTGTATCTCCTAAATGATTCTTCTTTTTCATGTGACACTTTGAGGCATTATAGTCATCCAGCTTGTGTTCATACAGTTTCAGTCTGGGGTCATGACACAGGGTTTCCTCAGTGACAGAAGAACCATTGCTTCTCCTGCAAATAAAACAGAACATAGTTGTAGAACCCACAGACTGACAATGAAGTATTTATATTGAGGTAAATGCAACATCAACATGATCTAAGGATGCTGATATCCAGATAATCATGGGGATAAGACTTTTAATACTCAACCTAGTCTGACTCAAGTCACTGATATACCACAAACATTGCAGAATTTGTAAATTCCTTAAGGAAATCCAAACTCTCAAGACGGGTCAGCAGATTTGTTGCATCTTCTGTGGTGAACCACTGCACGGGCACCGCACATGGATAATACCCACTCTTTACTCTAGGTATTATTTCTGAGAATCAGTGTTCTTGCTTTATTTGTGCCCCCGAAGCACAAATGCTAAGTCCTATCATCTTAAAAGGACAGCATGGTTACTAAATTTTGTAGCAGTTAATTTAATCAGATGTAAAGGTAAAAACACGATGAACTCAAAACTGACAAAGTGATTATAAACCTCTGACATGAAATATGAATAAATAATACCTTGCTGTCTTCTTCTGCTATCAGTTTGAGTCACTTCTGACATGTTTTCCTGACACCAAAAGAGAAATTGTGACAGGGACAGCACAGCCTGTGATTGACAGCCTCAGCTCTGTTCTTGTATGCTGTGTGAAAGGGGGGGGGGTGTACCTTCCCTTCAATCAAATTTCAGAGCTCTCCTCACTGATGTACAGTTAGGTCCATATATATTTGGACACAGGCACAATTTTAGTTTATGTCAGGTATTTACCAAAACATATTCATGCTATAGTTATAGAATGGATATGGGCTGAAAGTGCACACTCTCAGGTTTAATTTGAGGGTATGTACATCCAAACTGGAAGAAACCCTTCCTCCAGTTTGGATGCACATACCCTCAAATTAATCCTGAGAGTGTGCACTTTCATCCCATATCCATTATCTAACTATAGCCTGAATATGTTTTGGTAAATACCTGAAAAAAACTACAATTGTGCCTGTGTCCAAATATATATGGACATAACTGTAACTTCAGCTCTCCACCCCTTACTTTTCAGAGCTGAGAGATCCTGTAAACATTTTATATTTTGAATGGATGTAAGGGACAGGTGGCTATAAATAAACAGGTACAACTTATGTAGGAGGATTTGCTTCATCTCTGTGTATCACCTGAGGCCAGTCACTTCACTGGGTATATGTAAGGGTTTACAGCCACTTTAAAAATAACCTACTACTGACACTAGGATACAGCAGATGACTAGTCTGCTGCCATCTGATAACATTTGCTTCCATCTGATAACTGTACGTTATAATTATGGTTGGGGTACAGGGGTCATACACCCCTAAGCCTGGTTTATGGAAAGGCAGAGGCTATGGTCTGGAATATTGAAGTCTAGCTAATTAAGTGTTCTTGCATGTCAAGACCACTAACTGTTATCTCACATATATAGTCTTATTATTATAGCCAAATTTACCACCCTAACTCCTCCCACAGTTTTTACACTACATAGACAGTAATATACCGAAACGTGCGGATTGTTCCCGATCGGTGTGCTATTACTTTGTGGAACGCTTCGCCGAATGGTTCACGAAATATCGGCGTTTTTGTGGTGAAATTGGTCCCATAGGAATGTTCAATACTAGAGTGGGAGCTGACAAAAGCTAGAGTGTGAGCTGAAAAATCAGGACATGATTTCTAAACTGCCATCACTCCCTCGTTTTCAAGCCCACTTACACAAATCTTATATCAAAACGTTCAGCTATCCCTGCTGCCACTCAAAATGTCAACGGCCATAGTTCTGATAGTTTTCACAATATGACCGTTTGCAACTCACGCTACCCATTGACATTCATTGAAACTCCACTCTAGCCACCTCAAATTTGACGGGCAATTTCTAAACTGCGACTGTGCCTTCATTTTTAATATTTCAGAGACATACTATGCAGCAAAATGTAGGTCTGGGTCTTGTGATTCTCACAATATAAAGCTCTTTTAGGATTTATAGTTTTTAAACTACATCTGTTTGAAGATGGCAACTGCCAGTGAAGTGAGCAAGTTGGAGCAGTTTGTTTTTAACCACTCTTCTCTGCCCTTGCTGTAGAGTGAGTTGCCATAGGAACCCAGGTGTGTGAGCAGGCAAGAACACTTCACACAATTTCCCCAGAAATTGTAGCTTTTCTAGTTATTCCCATGTTTCCTTATAAAACAACTTCTTCCTAAATTACTTGAAAAGCCTGTTTATGATAAAACACTTCATAAACCTCTGTTACTGTTCTTTTAATAAATTTTAAGTATGTTTACATTGTTGGAGGCTTCCTCTTTCATTTGATGTCCCCCTTCCTTTAATTTATTATTATTATTATTACAGGTCCTTATATAGCGCCATCAATTTACACAGCGCTTTACATATACACTATGTTGCCAAAAGTATTGGGACATCCATCTAATTCATTAGATTCAGGTGTTCATGTCACCTCCCTGGCCACAGGTGTATAAAAGCACCTAGGCATGCAGACTGCAGACTGTTTCTACAAACATTTGTGAAAGAACGGGTCTCTCTCAGGAGCTCAGTGAATTCAAGCGTGGTACCGTGATAGGTTGCCACCTGTGCAATAATTCCATCCATGAAATTTCCTTGCTACTAAATATTCCACTGTCAGCTGTTAGTGGTATTATAACAAAGTGGAAGCAACTGGGAACAACAGCAACTCAGCAATGAAGTGGTAGGTCACATAAAATAACAGAACGGGGTCAGCGCATGCTGAAGTCGCCAACTGTCTGCAGAGTCAATAGCTAAAGACCTTCAAACTTTATGTGGCCTTCAGATTAGCACAACAACAGTGCTTAGAGAGCTTCATGGAATGGGTTTCCATGGCCGAGCAGCAGCATCAAAGCCTTATGTCACCTGGTGCAATGCAAAGCGTCGGATGCAGTGGTGTCAAGCACGCCGTCACTGGACTCTAGAACTGTGGAGATGTGTTCTCTGGAATGACGAATCACGCTTCTCTGTCTGGCAATCTGATGGACGTGTCTCGGTTTGGCCAGGAGAACGGAACTTGCCTGACTGCATTGTGCCAAGTGTAAAGATTAGTGGAGGGGGGATTATGGTGTGGGGTTGTTTTTCAGGGATTGGAATACCCATTGGTTCTAGTGCAGGAACTCATAGCCTCCCTAGCGGTCTGATTATGTCAGTATTTCTGTGCTCAAAGGAGTACATTTTTTTGCATGGAAATATGTATTTTTTTTTTATTGTAGGCCTGTAATTTTTAGGAATAACTCACTAAAATCTGTCCGAACAAAAGTCTAGTAAACATCCCGGGTATGTTAAATTTGAAACACAAAATCATAAATTATAATTAAATAAATAATCATAAAAAATAATAATATAATAATAATAAATTTAATTCAATATTATAATCAAACCAAAATCACTGAAATTTTAAATACAGCGCCAAGTTCGCACATCACTGAGCAAAGTCACAAAATCGTTTTCAGTGTCTGATGACGAATTTCCCCACGAATCATTATCACTCAATTCTGCAAGTAGTTCTAATTTACTATCATTGTTTTCTAGCTGGTCTAAAACTGATTTTGACCTAAAGGGAGGCAGAAAGAACGGTAAAAATGTAGGCAGGGCACAGGACAAAGCACTCGGGCAAAATGTATGTGAAATGCTTTGATACAGTAATGTTTTACTATGTGATTTTAGTGTATTTAGTGAATGTCACTTTTTCACATTTTTAAATTTCCCGCCGTTCCGTCTCCATACGTCCTGACGTCGCAGGGAACGGAACCCAGAAGACAGATGCCGGCATCGGCCAGAGGACATTGCCTGGGGCGCTGCAGGGGGGACATCGCGGAAGCGCAGGACAAGGTAATTGAAGAAGAGTTCCCGGAGCAGCGCTGCAAGGTATTCCCGAGTGTAGCTCGGGGTTACCGTTTGTGGTGCTGAAACTTTACCCCGAGCTACACTTGGAAATACCTCCAGGGAGGTTAAGGCGTCAGCATACCAAAACATTTTGGACAATTTCATGCTCCCAAATTTGTGAGAACAGTTTGGGGATGGCCCCTTCCTGTTCCAACATGACTGCGCACCAATGCCCAAAGCAAGGTCCACAAAGACATGGATGAGCGAGTTTGGGGAGGAGGAACTTTACTGGCCTGCACAGAGTTCTGACCTCAACCCAATAGAACACATTTGGGATGAATTAGAGTGGAGACTGTGCGCCAGGCCATCTCATCCGACATCAGTGCCTGACCTCACAAATGCGATTCTGGAAGAATGGTCAAACATTCCCATAGACACTCTCCTAAACCTTGTGGATAGCTATCCCATAAAAGTTGAAGCTTTTAAAGCTTCAAAGGGTGGGCCAACTCAATATTTAACCCTATGGGCTAAGACTGGTATGTTCATACATGTGTAAAGGCAGGCGTCGTCCCAATACTTTTGGCAATATAGTGTATATATTGTACATTCAAATCAGTCCCTAACCCTCAAGGGGCGTAAAATAAAAGTCCCTAACTTACATTCATACAGTCACATACTAGGGCACAATTTATACAGGATCCAATTAACCTACCAGCATGTCTTTGGAGTGTGGAAGGAAACCGGAGTACCCGGAGAAAACCCACGTAGGCACAGGGAGAACATGCAAACTCCAAGAAGGTAGTGCCGTGGTTGGGATAATCTGAAATGACATGAGTGAATAGCTTAAGCCAGCCATGGATGGATGGAATCTCAGCTGGTTTAGCAGGGACTGGGTAGATTACGATCCATCTGTGGGCAGGCTGGTTGCACTGAAGTTGATACACTGTTTGGCTTCAGCACAGCCAGCCTATCGGATTTTCTGCATGTGATCACTGCTGGCAGAAGCCTCCCTGCCGACAGAACACAATATCACTGTGAGAGGGATTACTCCATCAGTAGGTATGGCGTGGATTTAAACATGTTTCAGATCTTTTTGTATTAAAGGTCTAGTGTTTCTGGTAGGGTGGGCTGATAATCGATGTGAGTGGTTGAAACATGCATTACATTGTTTACCAAGGGAAAAATCTTTCATACCTTAACTATACCTCCAGGCATGGAGGGGCATGCGACTCCCTCCTCATCCTCTCAAAGGACAACACTGGTGCTTTGTGTTTAGATAAGCACTGTCACATGGGAGTGAGAGAAGTGCAATCACCCTGTGTAACTAGAACAGGGGTTTTCAACTAGGGTTCCTCCAGAGATTTCTAAGGGCTCCTTGAGCAATGGGCAATTTCTGCTTCTGAGATAAGTTCCCACTGACACCACTAATCTTTTAAACTATCTGTATGGGGGTAATTTTTCCCAATGTTCATAATTCTTCCCACTAACAATCACAATAATGTATTATCAGTTGTAGATATAGTAATTATTAGAGTGTCTCCTTTTCTTACTCTTATTGGGTAAATGGCAATAGCAATAGAAGAGCAGAAGGATGTAAAAAGTATGTTGATGGGAGCCCGCCATTGAAGAAAGCCTGTTGCTTTTCCCTAAATATTTAAGTATTTTGCCACCATATTCCAAAAATATGACTAAGCTGATTAGGAACTCTCAGAACTAAAGACCAAAAAAAAAAATGTACAGTCCATCAATCATAAAGAGAAAACAAAAATAAAAATAAAACTTGCATTACTTACCATATGGCAACACACACTTCTTCCTTATGTTCACAAATGGACAATCTTTCACAGGAACTGTCACAGCGACCTTTGCTTTGTGTACATGTTGCTGGTAGCACATCACAGAAAACACATGTTCGATGTTGAGGGAACTTCACAAAACCTGGTGGATTTAAACAAAATCAAAACAGTTAACTTTATAAGTCATATATACAAAATATAAAACTATTTACTATCTGGAAATTCGGTTTTACATAGCTACATAAAGTTACATGGTTGGTAAAGTTGAAAAAAGGCACCACCAGTCCAACCAGTTTAAATTTTTAAGAACACTATAAGTCACTGAATTGTGGAAAAAGAAACACAAAAGAAAGGCCATATAGTCTGTGCTAGATATAATAAATGTCACAGTGGTGGCGTAACTGAAATCTTATATCTCTATCCAGCTGCCTTATTGGAGAGGTATAATGTACTTCCAAAAAGCAAACCATATGTTATCAATATACTTTTGTGCAAAATGTAGCAACCTACATCAACCAATTATGTTGAGAAAGTAACTGGGTCTGCTAATTTTAATAACTATAATATTTGTTAGAAACATTTCAGAGATAAAATATATATGTGTGCTACATATTTTAAATAATAAAGGACATTTTTAGGGCTATTTCACCAGGAGGTGCACGACACGTTTTAAAAGAGCTCATTCATTTCTGTGGGCTGCCCTATGCATGTGAAATCTGCAAAATAGTTACTGGCACAATTTTTAAAGTTGCATGGTACCAAGACACATGGTACTGTCGTACAATTAGTTTTCACAGGTGCGAATGCACAGGTTTCCTAGATGCTTGGGGGTGACATTAGGAATTAACCTGGTGTGAACAAGCCCTAACCCTAGGTTCACACTTACACGGTGCAGGAAACTTGCAATCCCTGTGTGTTTCCTACACTGCATTGCAATCATACTGCCTTTGTGATCTGCTGTGGGGGTGTCAATACAAAGTTGACGATACCCCAAATGCAGGTCACAAGCACAGTGCGCTTGCCTGCACCTGATCACATGATACAAAATCCAGTTTGCGGTGCGGCTCCAAAAAAGGTACACGCGAGTCTTCAGTGCCATGCAATACGATTGAGCCCATTCAGGCAGGGATATCATCACCCAGTAGACTCTCTAAGATGCTGATTTTATACCCAGTCATATTACTGACCTGTTGCAAGATAACCTAATTAGTTGCTAAATGTTCTTCTAGCTCTTCCTTCTTATTACCACTTTGCCAGCTTTTTGTTGCCATGTCCCAACTTTTTTGAGATGTGTTGCTGCCATCAATTTCAAAATTCCTTATTTTTTTTTTATATGGTACATTTACTCAGTTTAAACTTTTGATATGTTTTCTATTTTCTATCATGAATAAAATATGGGTCTATGAGATTTTCAACTCATTACATTCTGTTTTTATGTACGGTAGATTTTACACAGCGTCCCAACTTTTTTGGAATTGGGGTTGTATAAAAGCATTACACAGTAGATGAGTGCAGTTAGCAGTCTGTAAATGCCATATTTATATTTAAACTTCACAAAGTACAGCGTGAGGGTTAAATGGTGTGAATGCAATGCTGATTTATTAGCTCCATAAGACAATATAAACACAATCTAAGAAAAGACATATTTTCCACTAAGCTCTAAATGTTACAGTTTGATGATCTCCACAGACATTTAGAAACCGTAAATGCAAGTGAATGAAATGTCAGCAAGGCAAAAAATGTATACTAATGAGCCGGATGTAACAGTAAAATCTCTGGTGACATTTGATACAGGGCTCATGTTTCCTGTTAGCTACTGCACCAAAGTGGGAGCAATAGGAGGGTCGCAAGAATATGTACTGCTATATTCAAATACTGTTCAAGAAAACAGCTGCAAATATGTGATATGAAAGATAAACAACCCATCTAGGGAAACAACTACCAGATAAGCTAAACAAACAAACAAACAAACAAACCACACAATACAAATCAGGAAGTAGGAATCCCAACACAGCATAGACTATGACCAGAGATGGATGGGCAGCTGTCTGCAAATTCCATGTATAATGCTCTCTTGAGTTTATCAGTATGACACTTGTCATCTGCAAATTTTGTGTATCTATCTTCAT